CCTTGTTTTATAATTCCATACACTTCAAATACAGACCAGTGTGAGTTGCTCTATTTTTAGAAGTAATTAAGCATGCCTCTTTTAAAAGCAAAACTCTTCAATTTATGATGTAAGAAAAGTTGAAAGAGCAGCATAGTTACACTAATATGCCATTGTAGCATGTTCCCATCCTGTCATCTGGAAAATTAAATCAGGTTACAGCATGGATTAACATCTAGACTTGTGAGGAGGGGAAGGTAGTGTCTTAAATGCCATGAAATTGAACAATGGGATTATACAGTTCACAGCTAATTTCACTATTCTTCTGTATTTGGCTTTTTGTTGAACAAGTTTCTGTAGGGAGAGGCAGTAACAGCTTTCAGGACTTGGAAACTTTCACATCTTTAGTAAAATACTAACAGTAATAACTTGAATATGGTTGAGTAATCACTACAGTGCTCTACATAATGTGTGTAGATGTGAGGTAGAATCTCTGCTACTAGAGGGAAGAACTAAATGCGTTAGCAGTGGAAACTGTATTCACCCAGTGTGGAATCAATGGTTTGTTTTATCCATTTGTTGTTAGTCTGTAAATGCATGGCAAGGAGTCAAAATGCCACTGTGACAATACCCAAGAGTTTTACTCTTGTATCACTGAGAAACAGCATTATCTTCTCTTACCTCTCTTCAGAATAAAATACATGATCAGTTACAAAGATTTCACATATTGTTCATAGAATAAGGAGTTCAGTAGTTTCCCTCAAAACCACCTCTTAAAATAGTTGCAAAGGAAACTGCTTCAAAACAACCATGTGATCCCTTTTATATGTGTTTTTCCTCACTGGCCCTCCCTAGAACAGGCTGTTGGTCGTGAGCCATAAGGGCTAGTGAATCTCCAGGCCTTTGGCCAGCCCAGGCCTTGTGGGCAGCAGCTGCTCTGTATGGAGCTGTATCCACTGGGAAGTGGATCCACTGTGATGAAGTGCTAGGTTGGTAAGTGAACCCACTCTGACTTCAGTGAAGTCACTCATGAATCTTAGGAAATTTATATGACATGCCATTGGTTTGAAAGCTTTTTAAAACTGAGTGTAAGCATTAGGAATAAAATTGGCTGTCTTAGCACCAGCAGTTTAATTGTAATTTGTGCTGTGTATGTACTGGACTTGTGCCTGTACAAGATGTGGAGATTGCAGATAAGATGGTGTGTTTTAGCTTTGTTTTGGAAAGCTGTTGTTTGCATACTTTCTGCTTTACACTTGTAACTTACAATTACTGGTGCTATCAACATTAATACATGGTTATTTTCTGGAGAAGTTTGTTGGTGCTTGCTTTCGGCAGAAACTGCATATCTTGTCATCTTTGGGAGCTGAAACTGCAGAATCAGATGTAATGAAAGATGAACAGGAGATACTAAGTTACGATCAACATACAAGTTCAACCTGTAGCACAACCTGAGTTCATGTTTTGGGGTTGGGAAAAGTTTAGTTTGAGAAGCAGCTCCATAATTCACGGGAGCTTCATAATTCATGGTTTCATCTTTGTTGTTAACTTTCACTTTGTTTGTCGGTTTGCAGTGTCGCCTTTCGCTGACCTCGGCTGAGCTTTTAATGCTTTATGACTTTATAGGTGACTGGTGCTCTGGAAACCTTCAAGCTCTGTTCTTCACTGTAACAACCCAAGAGATTGGGTAGGATTTTGGTCTTGTCCTTTCCTTATGTCAGCACATAGATTCCACTCTCCTGAACTTGAAAAATGTATTTTACATATTTACTTTGCCTATGGAATATCAAAGTAGGAAAATATTTGAAGATAATTTCATTAGAAAAGCTGTTAAGTACGTAGAATGACAGCATTCACTGTGTTTTGAGACAGTAAGAAACTGCAAAGGGTTTCTTACCATCTGTAGGAACTGTGGAGCTACAGCTGTTTGCAGGCAGTGTGCAAAACAAATTACTGTTAGTAAAAGTGTTTGAAGTTTTCAAGCTACTTTAGTTTTATAGGCAGAGTTGACAGTCAGTTATGTTCATGTCTTTACCAAGTATTTTGTATGAGTGCGGGAGTATGTTTTACTGATAGTAGTGGTGCTGCTTAAAGCTGAATTCTGAGTGCTTGGCAGAGCTCCCCTCTTGTATTTCCTCTGTTTCTGTGATTCTTGGTTTAGTGAGGGTGCTCCAGCTTCCTGGCTCTTCATGTAGTGGCCACAGAGAATTTAAATATAATTGTGAATATATGTAGGTAAGCGTAGTTGAAAACACCTTTCAAATGAACATAGGTTAACAGTGAAGAATGGGTAAAGTGATGAAGCTATAACAAGATGTGATGCAGTTTCTTTTTCCGTTGTGTAGTGTTTTCCAAATAAAGATACCAAAAGTTTAGTAAATATTCCCAGACCGTTTAAAAGCTGAAGTGATGGAGCTGATGCAACGGCAAATATAAAGTACTTGTAAAAACATGAGGAAGTGTGAACAGGTGGCTGCTAGGCACGATTTAAAGGTGGTTTTCTTAACTGTAGGGTTCCAGGTTATATGGATTAGCTATTCTGATGCTGTTACGAGATGTGTCATCAAAAGCAGACTGTATACAAACTGTATATCCAAACTGTATATTAAAGGCAGTTTGGCTTCTGAATGTATCATAACACCGAGCGCCATTTTTTGGATGAAAATGTAATTGTAGACTGTGTGCTTTCAGAACACGTTCATCTGGAACCTATAGAAACTGACTCAAGTGGGGACTCTAATCACATCTTTTCCTAAATTGCACTATGGCACTATTTAATCTGTTGGGTGAAATATGCTGTCTGCGTGAGGATATCAATTCACCAAAGCCCAGATTCAGGTGTTCATCAGTTGCTTGGTCTTGAAAGCAACCATAACTGCTTCAGTTGCTCGAAGTCTGCAGAGCACAGCAACCATCCAGCACATTCTCTCCTGTCTTCTTACTGTGTATGTTTTATTGTCTAATTTTAGAGAGGTAGAAATAATTTATCCTTTATGATGGAGATCAATAGACAAGCAAAAGTGGAATGGTACTAGTTAAGAGATATAAAAAAGACTATCTAATAGCAAAGTAAAATTCTGTGCTGATTTAGTTCCTCATTTCCTTAAAAAATGGTAAATGATAAAGTTCTGTGTATTTCAGTTTGTGTATGTATATTTATATTAACCTTGAAAGTAGATGGTCAATAGAAAGCATAGAGGTGGGGAATGTCAGTGTTGTGTGTCAGGCATCATTGCAGATTTCTAAAGTAATATGTACTTGGATTTGTAAACTTCTTTCCTTGATTGCTCTTTTTATGTGAAATCCTGAAAGCTTGGCCTCAAGCAGATAATTCTAAAAATACTTAAGAACATGCATCATGATAGGTGTTGCATACTTTCATCTTACCACTGATACTGTGCCTGCTTTGGTGAAATAGGAAACACTATTGTCCAGTTAGTTGTTAATTCCACTATCCAGACTGGTTTGCGTGTTTGGACACTGCTTAGCACGCTTACCTGCATAGAGATTTAAGAATTTTGAAGCAAAAGCTTTAAAAGGTGATCCCTCGCTTTGCATTACTACTTTGTTGCATTAAAGTAGAGGGTTTGCTGGTACACCTATGTAACTTTTGATATATTATGTATGTCTTTGTGTATAATGGCGGAATGTTAAAACTAAGTATCTGATTGTCTGGGAAAAGTTAAGTTCAGAAACTTACAAATGTATGGTTTTACTGTATTTCTAATGTGAAAAGAACAGACCTTAATAAAAAGCGTGCATCTGGTAGCAATGGAATTGCTCATCAACTAATTGATCACTAAAACAAGCTTTGCTGATGAGAAATGTAGGGTGGAACTAGTCTGAAATAACAGTGTAAGGTGTGTATGGCCTGAAAATGACTCTTTTTCCCTTCAAGCCTTAGCTACAGCAAAGTACAGCAGTAATTGAGCAGCAGAGGTGGGGTATGCAACCTCACTCCCTAAATAACGATCAGAATTTGTGAAAACAGTGTATCCAGTGAGCCAAGCATGGACAACTGGACCTGTCTGAGCACACAAAGGGTAGAAGCTGTTCAGGACACCAGCTGGTTTTTCCATGCATTGCACTTCATTCTGAACTCTTGTGTGATTGTTGTGTGGTTTGGGTTTTGTAATTAAAAAAAGTCATTTGTGGAATGGAGTCTGGCCTTCTCAGCTGTATTCCTTTGAAAAATGGATGGCTTTGAAGAGTTCCGCTTTAAATCGGTTGTCGTATAAATAATTTCGATGATGATACTCTGTTGTTTTATGAACATCTCTAATTAAATTTAAGGTAACTTCTCAGGGAATACTACCATGTTATTTATTCTGACAGCCAAAGGAATAAGGAGGCTGCATCAGTCTTGAATGCTTGCTAATCTGAAGCATTTAATGTTTGCTTGCCTGATGACAGAGGTTCCAGGGCTCTGTTAATTACCTCTTTCGATTTTAGGATAAGTACTTTTGTTTTCAGGGGAGCGCATCTTAGCATTTCTATAAAGTAATTCTGAGAGATTTATAATCTGGTATCACTGGAAACTACCAATGTTAACCAACACAGTGTTTGTAGCTGGCAAAAGTACTTATCCAATTAAACCAAAAATCTAAGTGCATTTGGTAACCATTTTCTGGTGACAAGCCTCACTGGCAAATTGCAGCCAGAAAGATATTGTACAAGGTAACTGCCTAAAGTTCAGTGTAGCACCAGGACATCTCTTATAAGATAACGTATCTATAATGATATATTTATATGTCTGTGTGTACATGCAAACATACACATGTATATTTGTGGTTTCGTGTGTTCTGTGTGTATGCTTTATGTGCAGTTTTTGTCTTTCTGGAGGAGGGTAAAGGGAGAGCCTTGAAAAGTCCTTCCCTGCTCTTATCAACACAGCAGCCTCAGCTGCCCTCCTTGGATCCCCTGCCAGGGTTGCTATCATCTTCTGATCAAATATTAATGTGTGATTCTCTGCTTGCTCACTAATCCAAAGCCAATTAATATTATCTGTCAATTATTTACAGATCCTGAGGTGCGGAGGCAATTCCCAGAGGGCTACAGTGACCAGGTTTGGAATGCGTAATTAATTTTTTACATGACAAAATTTATTTCAGGGTTGTTCAACATATTATTGCTGCTCTTTTTACTGAAAGAGATAAATGCATTCTTAGAAAGAAAAAGAAGCTGTAATTAGGAGCAGAAGGATAAAAACATTTTTACATGTAAAGCAGAGAAGGGAAGAATTTTGGAGCTCATAAGATTGTTTTACAATCTGGGTTTTACAAGCGAACATGAGAGCGGGAAGGAAAATTGATTAATAAATTTCACTTTTTGCCTTTAGGTGCCACAGCCTGCAGTTCATTTGGCAGTGCTCACTTCATTGTCTGAAAGGTTTATAGCTATATTTAACTGGGCACCTGGCATTGCAGCACATTCTAAAAAGTCTTGCCTGATCATGCAGTCTCTAGTCTGCTTGACAAAGATGGTTTAGAGATCCGAATATGCAGGTAGAGCACACAGGTATTTATCATTTAGCTTATACACAGATTGAATCTGGGATTTTTCACAGGTTTTCTAGCTGTCTTTGAAATCAGCAGCTTGAAGTTACCTTCTATTTTACTGTGTCTCATTAGATGCAGATTGGGCCAGGGGACAGAGATTAGGGAGAGGGGATTATTACTGTGCTGCCTGTAAGTGCTGTTGTTAGTGGTTGGGGTGACTCTACATTGGGGCTGGGGGCACAAGCTGATTCTTGCACCTTTATTTCTGGGAGGTACTGAAGTTATGGCATTGTGTAACTATTTAATAGAACCAAATTTTGCCTCAGTCAATGAGTTAGGGTCAGGAGAGCTGTTTTATTTCAGATCCTTTCCCTCTCATTGTGTAATACGAATTTTTGTGGCATTTAGACTAAAGCATTAAACAAGCTATTAGAAGTGATAGCTCATCAGGGCCAGAACAAGTGTTTTCATCTTTGGCTCTAATCACTCTATGCACTGGGACCTTGACCAGGGCTTCTGGCTGCTTTTGTAGTAGTAATAATATCTGTTTTCAAAGCAGCTGTTCAACTACCTGACTGCTTTTCACTGTAGTTTATTATTAGGACTTCTTTTACCCATGCAGTGTGGTATGGAACTAAACTCTGGGGGGACTACATCCTTATTGCCACTGTTGGTCAGTAATTTGTGAATAAATAGGTCCCATAGTTTGTATTTACACTATAGACCAACTACTTGTCAGCGCATTATAGCGTGTCATATTAGTCATATGTGAACTGGTGGTCCTCCAGAGCTGCTCCAGTCAACTGTGCCCATAATCAAGGTATTACAGGAGAGTCTTGTACATGAAATCGACTTAAAAAAATTCATAACGGTCTTTTTCCTTCTGCAACAAATGATTGGACTTGTGTAATAGTGCTATGAATATGCAAGACTGAATCAAACTGAGAGGAGCCACAGGCTCATATTTAATTCTTAAGATGTTCACCCAGTTGTAGTCAAGCCCCACAAAATACACAGTAGTGTGTTTGTGGGCATGGATTTTTAAATCATCACATCTTTTGCACATGGAAACTTAAAGGAAAGCAAAAGAAAGGAAGCCAAACTTCTCAAACTTAGTGTAGATTTTACAAACATTTCCCCCTTGATGCATAGAAGGAGTATTTTCTGTGTTAATAGCAGCTATATGTTCTCTAAAAGAACGTGTCCGGAGTTGACAGATGCAGATTTGAAAATCACTTATGAATATTCAGGTGAGCCAGAGGGAAAAAAAAATACAGAAAGGAAGAGCTACAGCCGTGTTTTTTCCTGATTAATGCAGGACTCTGAGAAATGTCAAGGCTGCAAATCAGTCATAGGTTTATTTCCTAAAAATTCTGGTTTATTGGGCTTTTATTTTAAGGGAAAAGTTTTGGAAGTGCTCAGGCACTGCAAATAAAGATACTTTGAAACCCTGGATTTTTCTGTGTGTATTCTGTATGCAAAAGAGAGCTATGATATGCATGTTAGTGCAGGCAAAAATTGTTTCGAGCAATCAAACATTTATGATTTAATCCATAAGGAATATTTGAGTTAAATCAACACAAGGTAAAGGAGTTATTAGTAAGGGGGGAGAGGAAGGGGAAAAAAAACCCACCTCAAGTTTTTTTTTATTCATCTAAACTATCAGTGCTTGTTTTTACATACACTGTATTTCCCATGTACCAGCACATCTGATCAGAGACCCTCGCTGCTGCTAGATGTTTTATTCTGTGTGTTCTTTGTACCTTACAGTAAAAGAATCTGTCACAAATTATTGTGCCTCACTGCTTTAGAAACTGAGAAAAAAGGGAGGTTAGATTGACATCTGTGACTGAATAATGATGACCAGCCTTTTGGCTCCCCTTGAGCCACAAAGCTAGCATTGCCTTTAGAGAGGAAAAAGGAGTAAGAAGAAAGGGGAGCGATAAAAGAGAGTTACAAATCTGTGGTCCCGGAGATGTATTACTGTTGGGCCAGTTGTCTGCGTGGTATGATAATCCATTTTGATCTTCTGTCTTAATTGTCTGCTAAAGACAAATGGGCAGTAAAAGTTCATCAGTTTCATCTTTTGCTTCTCATTTAGAGACAGAATAAATGATCCATCGCTACAGAAGAAACCTTTCTTTCTGACACGGAAGTAATGCAGACCCAACACATTTTATTAAAATATTTCTCCCTCATTATTTCAGTCCTCTCAGCTCTGATAGATCTTACTGTTTCATGAAAAATGTAATCTGAAATGTAAATAAGGGGTTTGATACAAAGTAAGGAAGTAATGAGCAGGCTAGCCACATTGTAGGAATTTTGATTGTAATTACTGACAGAGTGAATTCTGCATGTCCTGATTTTTTTCCCTCAAGTTATCTTTGACATGTTCAGACCACAATGACATCTATGGTTTAAATCTGTTAAATAACTGTATAACAGAATATTTTATAGAAAACGTCATAGACAAGGTATCTTAGGAGCCTTTCTAAGGGAAGAAAATGCTAATGATTGCTCCAGGCCACTTGAAATGGTTAAAACTAGGGGGCTTTTTTGAATGGCAGGAGGGGGGCTGAAGTAATCTGGAGATATACATTTTTAAATATAAGAGCATATTAACTTGTTAGGGGGTTTTATAATAGCTTTTAAGAATAAAATGTGTGTTTATGTATATGTGATTGTACCTAACATGAAATACAGTAATTGTTGGCATTACAAACAGCAGTTTTTCAGTGCTAGCTTTTTAGCAGTGGTCTCACAATTCGAAACAGATGAGAGCTCTCAGTTATTCTTTATAAAATGCAGTCACTGTGGATGGAAGTATCCTTTAAAAAAAATAGTCAACAGTCTAAAAGGAAAATCCTTGTGTATTACCACATTTGCTGGTTTGGGTTTGTAATAAAGCTGTAGTAATGAAGTTCTGTTTTTGTAGGTGAAATTCTCTGCTATTGGAATATTATAAACACCAACCTATGGACAAGTTGCTTTACCCTTACTACTGTATGAATTTTGGCTCTCCACTGCTTTGAAGATGAATCCCAAGATTAATAGCTATCCTAGGCTCATTTTAATATGAGGAAGTTTGTTGTAGATATATGAACTTTTCTCAGGAACAGTGTTTCAGCAGAGAGTTGATGTATAAATATATGAAAACAGTCAAACAATTAGTGAGAAGTGTGGCAGGAATTACACGACTTTGTAAAATGCAATTTATTTTTATCATGTTTTTTTTGGGTAGTACATCGTTCAGTTCCTTGCTGGTTTAATCTTTATAGCTCATCTGGAAGGGAAAGAAAAACTGATGTGATAGTTCCCATTTGTGAGCTGCTTCAAGTGGGTATGATGGCTCCTCTATAATTTGATGAACTATTGTATATATCAGTTAATTACTACAAGAATGACTGAGGTCTGCATGCTTGCAAGCTGGTACTTATGCAGATTGCTACTTCTATTCTGCTGGTAATTTTTCTTTCCACTGGCATTGAGACCAAGTTTATAATGAAACCAGCAATCTTTGTACATTTATAGATAAACTATAAAACTTTTATGGCAGTCTTTATATAGAAACTAATGGTCTGTCTTGTACAAAGTCTGTGAGCATTGTAGAAACACTGCACACAGGGAAAAATAAAAAGCACCCTTTCTTTTGTCATTGTAAGAGTTGTGTGATTGGAGAGTATTTATGCAGTGCTGGCCATAAATGAACCATAAACCCCCTATCTTGCAAAATCCTTCTGTGCTAAGCAGACTTAGTTGCTTAAACAGGGCTGATTGTTACCCATTTTGATATTTCCAAATTGCACATAGTATTCTTAGTATAAAGTTTTTGCGTTGCAGGTTGCATACACTGCATGATAAAACTGGTCTCAAGTAATTTAACATAATAGCTGTCCGTTCAAAAGTAGATGAAGAAGTTGCATTGGAAAAGTTAAGTCATTTAGAAAATCTAGAAAAGCAGTTGTAGTGTTCTGAAAGGCACTTTATAGTAAATCCAAGGCAGTGTAAACAGTAAATATATGAAGTATTTGATACTTCTGAAGCATTTGATACTCCCAGTTTGTATAGAGCCATCATACTGCTTTCATAGAGGGAGGCATTTAAAGTGAAAGCCTAATAAAACTTAATGTAGGACAATTATAAACAGTTTCCTCGTACAGTGACCCCTATTGACTAGGTAGTGTGAATGGAAACCTTTGTATGGGGGAGGCGAGCACTCTGTGTAATGTGTAAGGAGATCACCTTATACTTCATGTGCAGATAGTACAGCTGCTGTTTCACTGAACCGTTCTGGAGGCAACTTACCCCATGAGGACAAAGCTGGGTTCTTTGGCTCAAGTCCTGAGAGATAGTGGGTGGGACTAAACCGTGGGCTTTGTACAGCAGAGTGTTTTCTGAATTCAGAGTATTTTTCTAGACCAGTTGTATATCCTTTAATATAGGAAGTGAAGAAAATAGCCATTCCTTGTTTACTCTCTCTTATTCTATCATCCTTGTGTACATTACAAGCTGCTTTTTCATTATATTTTCTTTAGACCAGGTACGTGAGAGGTCAGTATACATATTT